TAAAAATATAAATTTAATATGACGTTAAAAAAATTTTAGGAATCCGGTTTGATTCGAATCAATTCGAATCGAGTCACAAATCGAATCGAATCGAATCGAATCCTGTTTTTTTGAATTCGAATCGAATCACTCTCAAATTCGATTCGATTCGATTCGTTCGAAGCCTTAGTAAATGTTTTTGTTTAATTTTTTGTAAATGGGTTTAATTAACCACCTATTACTATACAAAGTCATTATCACATATTGAATTATTTTATTGTAAGTAATTGTTGCAAACATACAACTGACTTCAATTGGCCAAAGAAAGTAAAAGCAAAGCAAATAAAAGGAACTCTATAGGAGCTTTATTGTTTTGTTAATTGTACCATAAAGTGTTTACAGATTCACCAAAGCTTTAAGAAAGAAGTAGTAGGCAAAATTTTATATTTTTGTCCAAGAATGGTCCGGGACATTTAAAGTGACGGACACGGACAATCACGGACCGGACAGTCCGTGACCATGTCCGCGTCCGCTGAAAACACTGAATATAATGAAGCTCAGATCATTTATAATAAAGCTCAGGATAAACTTCCATATACATATTTTGAATATGGAGATGAAAAATATGATGATGCGGACGAGGAAACCAAACAATTATATAGATTTGGATGAGAAATATATGTATTTTAAATGATTCAAATAAATTACAAAATGAAATAGAAAGATTTGAAAGCTTGTACTTCATTCCATAATCATCAAATGCTATTAATTAATTATTTTTCGAGAATAAATTTTTCTTTTTTATATAGAGACCATATTTTGAATCTCGTATAAAATTTTTGATTTAGACATATAAATTTATAAAAATATTAAAAAAACAAAGATGTCTGGCATTTTTACACGCATTGGTTCTATCATCAGTGGAATCCGAGAAAAGCTCAGCGGTGTTGACAATATAGTTCCGAAGCAAGCACCAGCTCAACCAGAAATCAAATCCCCAATCATATATAGAAGTTTTAAAATAGTTTTGGAGTTTAAAACAGTTTCGAATAGTTTTATTCAAATAAAAGTTCAATCATTTGATGCAGTTGAATACTAAAATGAATTATGAATAGTGGGAATAATTCTTATTCGAAACTCCGATTAAAAATAACGTAAAAATTATATAGGAATCTCACCATCTTTACACCTCAAAAGTAAGCCCTTTTTTAAAAAGAATGCATAGATATGTTCTTTGACATGTATTCCATAACGCAAAATAAAATAAAAAAATTATTTTACAGTACTAAAAGTATAGTACCATTTTTTATACAAATCGTCAATCTCCGCTGATCCCTATTTTAATTTAGAGTTCACTTATAAACTAATATTCTAAAAATCCCATGACGTTGAGAATAAAATGTTTCCTGATTTACTGTAGTGGGTAATAAATAATATAATTTTAACACCTAAGCTCAATATGATGAATTTAATAGTATTTTCGGGAATGGTTTTAAAACTTGAGGCACTTTGAAAGAAATGTAATTTTTTGAGTACTCATTGTCTTTCAGATAGATATCAAACAAAATTAAAAGAACATTCGGAAAACAGAGATGATGACAATGATGATGATGAAATAGTAGTTACTGATAAAAAATAGTTGGGTGGCAAAAGAGATGGTCAGAACATAAAAATTCTGATTTGATGTTGTAAAAATATAATCAATTATCTGACTTGCATACAGTAGTAACTCATATATATATATATAACTTCAAATTTTATCAAGTAATATAAGTATAGTTTCTAAGCTAAAAATGTTCTTTCCATAAATAACTTTATTTATAAATTAGTGCCAACTGTGTTCACATGTGATATCTATTTTTATATCAATTTTCTCAAATATAATTTATTATGAAAAAGTATTTCTATATTAAAGTTGTTAGCTAAACTCGCAGCAAGTAATAATCTTCTTGTCTTTTAACAATCAACCCCTTTTTCAAAAATAGAAAATAATAAAAATGATAAGTCTTAAATTATTAGCAGATACCTTCTTCATCCTCCTCTTCAACTATATTTTCATTTGGTGTTCCAATGTTCGGTTGATTATTTAATTGTTGGTGACCGTGTGGTACCTGATTATTTAATTGTTGGTGGCCTTGTGGTACCTGATTATTGGGCGGTGGTGGTGGTGGCAAATTCTGATTATTATTATTATTATCGCTTTGAATTGATTTTTTTCCATTATCTTCATTATTAAAAAAATATGATGATAAATAATCATCTGTAATAGGTTGCTTTGATCCTTGATTATTATTACCATTATTACTATCAACATTATTAGCAATAATGGTACTATTATTATTATTGTTACTATTAACAACAATAATATCATTGTTATTATTACTACTACCACTATCATTAATATTATTACTACTACTGCTGGTAACATTACCAGTACCAATATCGATATTATTAGTATTGTTATAATCATTCCAATTTCCAGATTCCGATAAAGAACTTTGAGATTTAAAGGATTGGTCTTGTTGTGATAATATTGGCGGTGGTTGTTGTAGTTGTGAAGAATGTGATGGAGGTGGCCAATGTGATGCACCAGGAACTTGCAAACTCCTTGCAAGTCTCACAACTTCATTATCCAAAAAAGTGACAACTTGCCTACGTACAGCTTGTTCTAAAAGTTCTTGATCACCTTGTTCAAACGCATCTAATAAAAAACTAGCTATAGCTGATTCTTCTGATTGAACAAATGCATTTCTAAAAAATAAAATAAAAATAAACATTAAGTTGAAAATGAAAAAATAATTTTCACAAATAACAAATTTTATTTAATTTTATTATAAATACAGGCAAAATAGTTGAAATTGTTTCTTTGCTTCCACTTCATCTTCAGTTGCCAGTAAAAGTATTATAATGCTTAAACATGTTTTATTGATTCCTTGTTGATTATTGCTATCAGTATATATTGCATTAAGCCTATGTAATATCTCTGTAGCTAACTCAAATCTAGTAATTGAATATAAATTAATATTTTAAGCAATATATAAAAATAATAAAATAATTATTGTTATTTTTCAGAGGAATGATTTTATTAATAATAGATGGATCAATTAACCTTTTATTCCTAATCATTATTGCTATGGTTCTTTTGAATGTGTCAATTGCAAATCTTCCACGTTCCTCAGTTTCGAATAACGTACATGCTGCCATATACATTTCTATTGCTTCATCCACATTTACAGGCTCCAATGCCCTAAAAAACAATGAAAGGCATGAGATGATGAATTGTAAAAATCCCCTTTTTTTAAAAACCCCCATCCATTGGTTAAATTAAGAACCTTGCACCCTTTTCTAACATTTCACCAGCTCTATCTGGTACCATATGTGCTAAATAAAGATCACTGGCTTTTTTATACATTTCAGCAGCACGTTCAGGTTGCTTTAATTGTTGACTTGCTAGATTTGCTGAAGATTCCATAGCTTTTGCTGACATATATAATCTAAAAATTATTTATAATTAATAATTATTATTATATATAAAGAAAAAAGTTGTTTTTTTCATTAAAATTATTATAATTAACATACGAATCTGATTTGAATAAAGCATCTGAAGCTTTTTGATAAGCTTGAATTGCTTGTTCATATGAGCGTGCAGCTTTGAAACTGGAAGCTAATGTTTAAACAAGCATATATAAATTAGTTTCAATGAATTAAAAAAAAATTTAATTTAAAAAACGTTGAAAGGCAAATAATACCTGCTTTTTCATATCTTTGTCCTGCAATATCCCATTCTGGTTTTTTAAACCAATTCTTCTCTGTTCTAAATTAATAAATAATTCTATTTATTAATTTTGCAAATTTCCTCAAAAAACCAAATGTTTATTTTTCATGCAAGAACTTACGCTTTATCGCCTTCAGATAAAAATTTAATCGCCTCGCGAATTTTACTGTCTTCCATTAACAAATTTTTTTAAATATATTTTTTTCCTATTAATACAGTGCAGATCGTCTATAAAAGTTGCTTTAATATTGGAGTTAATGACATCACCCAACCAAATTTTTTAGCAAGCATATCCGGATAAAATCGGAAGGATCATCCTTTATTCCTGGATTAAAATAATAAAGGCTATAACCTTAAAAATATTATAAAGAATATCCTTCATAGAAATTTTACTTTCCTGCAATTTGTTGATCAGTGGACAAGAACATTATTATTTGGGGACACTGGTTCATGACTTCTTGCCTGTTGCATATGGCCTTCCTTTATATAAGGAAATAAAACGAAATTATGGCACATATATTACCATAGTATCAGAAGATACAGTTTTAAAGGAAATAAAGAACTTCGATGAATACATCTAAGAAATTTAAAGATAAAAGTAACTTTATGAAATAATAATAACATTTTTTTGTTTTTATTAGCTATAGTAATATTGAAACTTTGAATGCAGCCATATCAAGTTCGCAATATTTAATACATTCTAAGCATGAACCAGAATTAAAAACCGCCAGAAAACATAATGATAAGGGGGATCTTATTCATTTTATTCTGTTCAATTAACACCAGTATGTCATAAACGTTTACCAAATGATGAACATGAATTATGTGAAGCTATTCCAGTAATATTAACACGTCTTCAGAACCAAGCCATACCAAACAACAACACTTATATTTTGACATCTTGGACTGCCAAAAAAAAAAATCAATAATGATAACATTATTATTATGTTTTTTTTTTTTTTAACACATCTTTTATCTTTTTTAAAAATTACAATGCCAAAAGAAATCGTGAAGAAAATCAAAGTAGGTCGCCAGGTAAATGTTTATCATAAGAATGGTGGTGGTTACTGCAACTCGTCATCACTTCAGTTATATAAATTCAAAATGCCCGAACTAAGCAACTTGTCATTCTAGCTTACTAATTAAGACTTCAATTTCTTTCTGACATAATAAATAAAATTAGGAATGTGGATAAAAAAATCATATTCATTTGAAAATGTTAATAATAGTTTCAAAAAATGAATTTAAATTTTTTTATAGTATGTTGTTGGAATATTTACACACCTTCGGGACCCACAAAAACCTGTAACTGTAGAGAGGTGTGACCTTATGGAGGTTGATGGTTTTAATCCCGTAATATCGATCTCACGTGACATCTATTATATTATTAAGGCAACATAATAACAACTTTCCTTTAAAAGAATTATTTTTTACAAAGTTATCAAGTGAAGTTTCTCTAGCATTATTAAAAATTTTCTTTCTTAAATAACTGAATATTTTTTTAAATTTTCAGATCTTCTGAATTAAAATAATTAGCATCATTTTTTGTTGTTCAAAGATACTTGTGCTTCCTTATCATTGATTTGAGGCAAGCTCTTCATCACTATCTGAATTCATGTCATGTTTCTCTGGCTCATCATTATTGCAGTCGGAACTCGTTAAACCGATGTACCTGTTTTGGACTCAAAACATCGTTTTATCAAATATTCGTTTTATCAAGTAATCTTTGATAAGACAAAGTTAAAAAAAATTTCGGTTTAAAAAAAGTTATACATCAAAGTTTACATATTCGTCTATACTACGTTGACGCGCTAGTGATCTTTTATATAATAAAATGCTACTTCTAACAGAACGAACACTAGAAATTTGCTTTGTTGAAATTACAAATTTTTCTACTATATTGAGAAAAGTTATGTCTTTTTAAAAAATTACCTAGCCATCCACCTGGTGCTTTAAAATCTTGAAAACCTAAAAATTCTGCAAACGTATTACTTTTGTTTGTAATACAGAACCAGTGATAGTTAAATTTGCTTTAAGCATTTGTGTTGTCCAAAGAATCAATGCATCTTCTAGACCTGAATATTTTCCTTTGCGTAAACGTTTATTATGTGAATTGGGATATTCTGACTTTCGTTTCAATATGTCACAAACAGTATTTTCACGAACTTTAAAACGAATAGCAAGGCATCTCTATTCATTGGAATAGGTTTCGATTGTTTTAGAACACATATTTCTCTTTTATCTTCCAACATCAGTGTATTTTTCATTTTTAATTTTAGGGAACAATACGTACTACCACTCTGTAAATCATTTATAAAATTAAGCGAAGTTTCCTTCCGATAAGCCGATATTATTCGTCTTATCGAGTTATAGTTTACTATATATGGAACCGTATGAAAACATCGTCTTAAACATTAAAGTGAAACAATAGGAATCTTCGTCTTGTTGAGTTATAAATGAATTGGTAACTAGAAAAACTTCATTATAACAAAAATTCGTTTTATCGAGTTCCGTCTTATCGAGTTCCGACTGTAGTGGTGACCATTTGGTTTATTTGTTTTCTGTAAGTAATCCACTTGTAGATAGATTTTGAGTATGATTTAGATAGTCATGAATGTCATTTTTCATTTGTTCATCAGTAATCTCATTAACCAAAGAATCAACAATTTCAAATTCTTGACTTTTGTCCAATTCAAAAGTTCTAAAACAACCCCATTTGTAGGATCTGGTAAAATTTGTTTTTTAAATTATGAATAGTAGTAGTTTTTTATTTTTTATATGGGGGGTCCTTAATTTGCCCCAAATTTTATTTATTTTTTCTAAAATCAGCAGCATGATTGCGCGTTTCTATAAAAATATTTAATAATTTATTTAGTCTTTAAAAATTAAGCTAATTATTCTATAAAGATTTGGCAAATATTAAATTAATTATTAATAATATTAAAAATAAAAAAATAAATAAATAAATAATAATGTTGTTGTTGTAAACGACTCATCATCAACTCTATTAATCATCAAGAATCATATGATAATTCATAATTAGTTAATGGTAAAGCTTTGAGTGGATGTGGTACTAAAGCACATGAAATATTGCCCCACCATTTATCACAATTTTCTTTATACCATGTGACTTTTTAATTTTTTATTGCATAAAAAAAAATATTAATATTAATTAATAAATAATGAAAATATATTTATTTATTCATTCTCCACTAAAAAAAAACTTACTAGTCTTTTTTAATCCTTCTTCCCAACCAATACGTGGTTTCCAACCAAGTTCTTTCAATTTACGATAATCAACGGCGTATCTTCTATCATTGAAGGCACGATCTTGTACAAATTCCAAATATTTATCATCTTTATAACCAAATTGTCTTATCAATGTTTTTGCTAAATCCAAATTGGAAATTTCAAAGTTTGATCCTATATTGTAAACTTCTCCAATTTGTCCTAAATGTAAAATTATGTCTAATGCATCAGCTACATCACTAGCATAAAGGTATTTACGTGAATTAGACCCATCACCATGTATGTAACTTATATGTTCATAAGGGAGGAGAGCATATATAAATATACAAGTAAGAAAGTAACATATAATATAATAGATTAAAAACAAATGAATAATATATTTACCATTTTACCCCTTTTATTAGGCTACAAATAAATTTTGAACAAATTTTTTCAGGATATTGATAAGGACCATAAATATTATTACTTCTTGTTATTATAATGGGTAAACCAAATGATTTATGATAAGCTTTAACAAGACATTCTGCTGCAGCTTTTGTTGCAGAATATGGGTTTGATGGTGCTAGTATAGATTCTTCATGACAATCGGGCTAATAATCATATAGATTAATGATAAATGAATATTAATGTGAAATAAATAAATAATATCAATACTATTACTATTAATGACATAATAAATTTCTTACACTGCTTTTGGCTACTTCACCATAAACTTCATCGGTACTGACATGGATGAACCTTTTTATACCATGGACCTTGGCAGCTTCTAACATTACATGAGTCCCCATAACATTATTTTTTGTAAATTCAAATGAATCACCAAATGAATTGTCAACATGTGTTTGAGCTGCCAAGTGAAATATTGTGTCTATTTTCTTTTCTCTGAGAATAAATGTCATGAAATCTGATGATGTAATATCTCCCTTAATAATAAAATAAAGTATTCCACTATTTTAGAATTAATTAGACAAATATTTGGAATATTCCATGAAAATATCAACTAGGTACCTTAATAAATGTGTAATTTGGCATTCCTTTAATAACTTTTAAATTATTTAAACTGCCGCAATAATCTAATTTATCTACTACTACAACATTATATTCTGGATAAAGAACCACAAGTTTACGTACTAAAAAACATCCACTAAATAATAATAATAGTAATGATAAACATATTATAATGTATATAGGATTTTTTAATATGTGTTTATATAGCTTACATGAACCCTGCTCCACCTGTAACCATAATATTTTTAATTTGAGGATTTGTTGGTTCTATTCTAATTCCAATATCTTCGATATCAAAACCAGGGATCTTGTTAATTATTTCTCGCACTTTAGGATCCACCATATTATTATTATTATTATTATTATTACTATTACTACTATTATCATTATTATTATCAGCATCATTGTCATTATTATTATTATAATTATTATTATTAAATTGTTTTATGTAATGGCTTGCATTGCCATTTGTGCTGTTGGCGCTGTTGTTGATAACATTTTGGTTTTTAAGATTAATAATAGTTGATGAGTTATTTATTGTAGTTGACGGGGTTGCTATAGTTGTTGCAGTCGATTGAAATTGTAATCCATTTTTTTGGTATGATGTCGAAATTCCTTCACGCATAATATTATAATATTATAATAATTTCAAAAGAGTGTATTTCTAAAAAAAAAAATATAATTAAAATAAATTTGTGTTTCTTACCATTTCAAGAATTATTTGCAAATGAGGAAAAAAAAGAAAAACAGTTACCAAAAATGCACTAACATAATATAAATAAACTATTTGTCACGCAAATTGTAAAAGAAAAAGAAAAAATTTTGATTTCATTAATTCAAATTTGTGATAAATAGAAACGGTGATTGTGACATTTTGCATAAAAAATTGAACGCAATGCTAAAATACTGACCTATATCATACGATTTTAGCTCAACAAAGGTAAGAATTAAAGTTTTTCTATCAAAATTCTAACTGTATTACAAGATTATCCGAATATACCACCAATAACCGTGAGCGTCCAAAATAGATTACACGTCCAAAATGAAAAAATATTGGTTTTATTAAACACACATCTTTTACATAGTTTCGAAAGTTTTAATAAATATATAGATAGTAATAGGTACGTATGAAAAAAACCTTTATGTAGGGATGGGAAAGTCCTGGGACCGGACCGGTCCAGACCGGTCCCAATTTAAAGTTTGGGACCACGGGATCATCCAATAAAAATTAGCAATTTTTTTCATTTGAATATTATTGTTATCATTATAATTATAATTATTTAATATTTGGGGCATACTACAACAAAACCAGACAAAGTGAACATTGGTGTTATATACCAATGATTTCAGGGATCAAAACTTAGTCATTTGTAATGTGATCATAATTAATATCCCATTTGTTATCAAGTGATATATAGAACTATTCCTATATAAAAATAATTAATATGAAACTAATTTACATTAGGTCTACCATGGAACCCAAGAATTACAGCACCATTAGAAGTATTTTAAAAAAGGAACAAGGTGAAAAAATTTGCACCCTATATTTTCAAAATAAATAATACTCAGACACTGGAAGCTTATCTAAGAAAAGAAGGAATTAATTATGAAATTTACCAAGAAGAAAGAAAAATGATAAGTGTTAGGAAAAGAAAACATCATGATGGTGTATTATTACCCAACAAAAAGTCAAGATCTCTAGAAGAAAAATAATAGGAACAAATTTATAATTTATTTTATCTTTTCCTTTTTGGCATTTTCTCAATAATACTAATGTTCCACCAACCATGATTTAAAGGGTTCTCTTTCATGATTGAACACTTATTTTTTTTTTAATTCTGTTATTTCACCATTTTTATTTTCCAATAGTTATTCCATTCGGCATATCTGTTCTTTCTTGAAATTTAATAGAAGGACCTTTATTAATTATTCAAAGATATAAATTAAAATTAGAAATTTGTATCATAATTTATTGTGTACTTAATTTTTACTATATTCTAATAAAGATTATATGGGAGGATATTGCTTTATAAAAAAAAAAAATAGTTCTTCTATTTCCAAAATTTTATTATTAAGATCCATAATAATTGTTGAAATTTTGATTTGATTGTTGCTAGTTCACCTTTATTCTTTGAAGTTGCCTCAAAATACCAGATTCATCATTATCATCATGTCAAAGCTTTTTATTTTTTTTTCATCATTAAAGTTGCTAAATTGAAAAAATTCTCATAAAAATCATCAATAACGACTATTTGATTATAATTTTTTTCACATAATAAAAAATCTTCTAAAGAATTAATTAATGGAGATAATTCAAGAAAATACTTAACTAATTAAATTATCTTTTCAACTGCAGTGTGTGATGATGCATGCTTCCAAGTTCATGAGTCGGTTTTACATGACACTAATTGTCTCTCTGGATATTTATCAGCTATGTGTTTAAACAAAAATGTTAAATTTTTAGCTGGTTGTCTTGTATTTGTCATGTTATTTGAGTAATCTTGGTAATTATGCAAAAAAAAATTAAAATGATAATTAATCATAAATTCAGACCAAAATATGTCTCATATTAGAAAAAACCAATGTGTAAACCTTTGTGGATGAAAGTGGATTATTAAACTATGTATTCAAGAGAGTGTATTCCTAATTTTTTTAATATAGAATTATTATGTAATATTATTGGCTTTTTGAGCTACAAAAAAGATTCCCAATGAATGACCAATCAAATTTAACGTGTAACTATTTTCCATTTATTTAGAAACTAATTTGACAATTAATAACAATATTAATATTAATCCTGTAACGCGTTACTTTTATACAATAAGTTTTCCTTCCAGCTACACATTAACTAAGATATCTCATGTCGGAAAAGTGGGTACATGAGTATTTCAATCGCAGACCCTCTGAATGGACTATTATAGGGTTTCTTGAAGAATGTGATGCAAATTTATTTACTGATAAGATCGGACATTACCTTACTTCTCTCATGAACATAACTAAAAATGATATTGGAAATAGGTGTAAAAGGCACGGGAATTGCATGATTGTTATAAACAGGCAAGTCCAAGAATTTTTATAGTTAAAAATATTTATTAATAAGAAATTGGTAATATGGCAGGAATCTCGAATCAAGTCTCTAATATGAGTTACAAAACCAGTGCTAGGGCACAGATGATCTCAAATATTGTCTGATGCTCAAGTCTCTAAGATTATCTAGTACTGGTCCCACTGGAGTGTGGGCAATCTCTAAGATTGTCTGACGTACAAGTCTCTAAGATGAATCTGGTGGGGTGAAAAAAAGTTAGAGAAAAATTATAAAGTCACTAGTCAAGGATACTATTAATTTCTAAGCTCTCCTATACTAGGGTTCCCGACCTGATCACAAAATAGCATGAGATTGGCTATCTCAAAAAAGTAAAGAGACTGCTGGAACTTCAATACACCTACATCACCCAACATTTAAGGATAGTTCCCTAGGAATAGGAATGGTCAATGGCGGAACATTCAATACTGGCTTGTCACCAAAACAAGACCAAGAGGTACAGATGCATAGTATTTTCTGGCAGGAAGTTATGAGATTGTGATTGTTGATAGAAACTAAACCTTTTCTTTTGTATTTAATCTGATGATGATTTCCAACTTGTCATGCCTATCAGTCAAAAGCAGAAGAAACAGTTATCTCCTTCAAAAAAGGTCAGTATAATGGTAAAATTTTGTGTTGCTTTGAAAGTATGTGAGCATTTTTTAACAAATTTATTATATTACAGGATAAAAAATCGAATGTTTTAGTCAAAAAGGTATGTATAAAATGTAACTTATGATAAGGATCTGTTCATGTGAATTCCTCAAAAATTTTCTTGCATGAACAGGCTAAAACTAAGGTTTCTGGCCGAAACTGCTTCTATTAGTAGCTGAAATTGCCCAAATACTTTGGGCAAAATTTATTTTTTTATAAGCCCAAACTACTTTTTGTTATTAGCCGAAATTGGGCGAAATTATTTTAAAGTTGTTTAAGTTAAAACAAATTGATTCATATAGTTTTTTAATGTTCATGCTTATAAAAAATGTTGAGAAGCCCAAATTGCCCAAACTAGTTTGGGCTTTGAGAAAACAGTTTGGACCAGAAACCTTAGCTAAAACCACCAACAGGAACACAGATGATGATATTGATGATCCATTTATCAGTGATAATGATTTGGCTGAGAGTTCTGAATTTTTGAAAGATAACTCATCATCATCAAGTTCAATTAAAATTGCATGAGATTCCTTCATATCTGCTTCCTTTGACAACAAGCCACAAGATCTTGATAGCATATCACCTGACCCAAAAGAGAGCAAGATGGAGTCAATTGACATAGATCAAAGTGAAGAAATCAGAAAGCTCACACAGGTATTTATTTTACTACTTGCTAGGTTTATTGCCTTTTAATTATATGTTCATTTCTATTTAATTTCTAGGATGAAATGGATATTCGCAATAAATTACTCATTATTTTGTCTGCATGAAAAGAAAAAGATAGGAAGTCTGGAAAAGATTGCATGTCTTCTATACCTCTTAACAATATTATTGATTTATTCATCAGGAAACTTTTCCCGCCGTAATATTACATCCGTAAGTTTTAATATGAAATGTCGTAATATTTCGCATAAAAAGGATGTAATATTTACACTGAATGTAATAATTGCGTAATTTTTGTGCAATTTTTGCATAATATTACACTATTTACGTAAGTTTATGGCGGGCCCCATAATATTACGTAAATTTACGTCAGAAAAAATTTCCTGATGTTCAATGATAAGGTGTCTGAAAGAGTTTATAAATCATTGGATGAAAGACAAATTGAATGGCTCAATAAAGTTCTCAAACAAAAATCCTGGATACAAACAGACAAATTTAAGAAATACATAAATCAATTCACTGAAGATGTTTGTGATAGAGTAACCATTCCATGTATAGTTTGCAAGTCTTTTGTAATACCAATTGAATCATTCAATTCCTTTCATCATGAGGGTCATGACATCGCACAACAGATTTTAATACATTTGTAAGTGTTTATTTGAAATATTTAACAATCACAACAAAATGTTCAAATAAAATAATCTTTCTATAAATAGTTCTGAGAGACTTGAAGCACTGAAAACAAAAGCCTTGATTATGAAAGAACTTATTCAATAGATACAACAATATTTATTATAAATCAATTGTTTCATATCCACCAAGACATGGTCAAACTTGTATGGTAAGTACCAATTTGTAAAATTCAAAATGATAAAGCTAATTTGTTATTAATTTTTCTTTTTGTTTTATTTAGGATTGAGTTAACAACCCCCTATACAAAAAATCACAAAATTGATGGACTTATTAAAGTGATCAAGACAAAAAAAAATCAAGCCATAATTATATTTGAGTTTTCATATGGAAGATGAGCACCTTTATCAAAGGAAGACAGTGATGAGGTTAAGTTATGCAGGAATTCTATGCAAATTCTAAATAACCTATTACAGAATGTATCTAAAGACAAAGCACACATTTATTTGGTACAATCTGCCAGTAAGTATTTGATTAGATGTTAAGTGGTAAAAAGTTGTGACTCATAATGTTTCATATTTTATAGATGGTTTAATTAAAATAAAATATTTGATTCATCTAGTGATGTTAGCCGGCTAATAATCTGCATGCATAATTTCTAAATTTGGTAATAGATTTCTGCATTACTTTCTTGTTATAGAAATAAAATTACCAATTTAGGTAGTAAACGGCTTAGCCGGCTAAGGATTTTTAAATGGCTAACATCACTATATTCGTCCTCTACCATCAATTTATATTCTTAAATCATTCACAAATATTAAAATACCAGTATCATTCAACAATTTCAAGCAATTTGCAAAAAACGTGGTTGATTTAATGAACTTTCAGGTACAGATTAGAAATGTTCACATACAATTTTATCAAATACTAATAATAACTGACTTTGTTATTACAGGTTGATGTGTTGTCAACAATTAAAGTGATAAATAAAGTTGTGGCTAGACCTAATCATATCGATACAACTTTGGTGGAGGATAGAAAAAGAATGTGGAAAATAAACCTTCATCTCCTAAGTCACCATCTGGTGGTGGATCTTTTTCACCATTGATTTGAAACTATGTATTGTCAAGCGATTAGTGTTACAACTGTGATTAGACCATCAATTTCATATCATTACTGTAATATGTATTTGTTAGTTCGTGTTGTCTTTTTTAGCTTAGGTGCAGATAGTGTTTGGTGCATTGAAAAAATAAAATCTGGTCATTATAAATCAGGTTTACATCATCAGAAATTACTACCAATTGTTGATTTTTTCACAGATCTGTGACTCAAAAAAATAAACAATACAAAACTTCATTTTTTAAATGGTTTTTTTTGTGAACTTTTTTACATTAATATATATAGTGCCATACTAAAATTTCAATGGTTGTTAAATATAAAAACTTTAGCAAAAAATAAGAAAAACTACATATCTATCACTTTCTTTTAATTGAAATTTTTAAAATTTTTGATAATTCCCAAATAATACAGTGCAGATTAAAGATGTTAGCCAAAATGGTTTTTGAAAAAATCAATTTCGGCAGGCAATTTCAGATTTACAATATTTTCATAATGATGGACATAAAAAAACCACCCAGAATTTTGGCTATTGAGTTAAAGTGTTCAAATAATTTTGAGTATAGTTTCGACAATTAATAAAGTTAATTTTGGCAACTATGAAAAAATATTTCGGCATTTTGGATTCAGTGACGATCATTTACTAAGTGAAATAATTTCGGCTAACATCTTTAGTGCAGATCATCTATAATCATTAATTGCTTATAGTAACAATTGGTCAACTTCAAAATACTAGAACAAAAAAAAATTATATCATTTTAAAAAATTTAACCAATAAGTTTTATTGTTCACAACCCAAGCTTCAAAACTTACCAGCTGGTTTTTTCTTAAACTGAAAATTGGCAGAGCCTTAGCATTTTGAAAATTCCGAATTTTGTTATACATTTAAG